AACGATAAGGTCAGTGTTTCTTTTGTTGCCGGTCTTTCGGGCGACGAGGCGAGCCGCATGAAAGCGACGGGAGCAAGCGACCAAGGCGATGAGCGACGTTTTCGAGAAATCCAAGTACTGAACGACGCAACGGGCGGCAGTGAGGAATCTCCGTCGCTCGTCGCTGACTCTCGTCGCTCGCTGCATCGCTTATGCGGCGGTTTAGCCTTTATCCGAGCAGAAGCTCTCCTCCCGTAAATCGGCCAAGCACGACTTATTTATTTTTGTTCCGCTTACTTGTTTTTGTTTGACGTCGACTGCCAGGCTGGTTTCTTCTGCTTCCTTTTTCCTGCAGCGACGGCGTGCGCATTGCGTGTTGCCAGGGGAAAACTCCGGCGGGTTTAGGCGTACGCTTTGAATGTGGCTTGTTTTCGTGCTTTGACCATTTGTTCTTGTTGTTGTTGTGTTTGACGCATGTGTACATAAAACAGCTGCCTTTCTCCGTCTGTCGACGACGCGTGTGTGGTGGGACTGGTGTGTAACTAGAGCCACTAAATCAGCTGCGCTGCGGAGTGACGACACTTGAACCATCGTGGTGTTGCAAATCAGTGTTGCCAGTTATCTGATGCTTTCGTCTGAAATTGCAGGACACGCTTTTCCGTCCTCCAGAAATGTTAAAAAGGCCGCCTCAGAGCAAAGCGATTATTATCTGGCCCAAGCTTCCTGATGGCGTATCTCCTCAAGCTTGGGAAGTCTCACTCTCGCGTGGTAACGATCGTCAGTTGTGCCGTCTAAGCATTAGGCACCAAAATGGCGGCACCCAGAAGACAGACGGGGAATAAAGTGCCTGTTCTCTAAGGGTGTTCTATTAGGTGACTCTCGGTCTAGCGACACGTGCGATATTATGAATCTTTTGTGATTTGGAATTCGTTATTTGCTTTTATTCGCGCTCTCGGGGTGCTTCTCTTCTTTGATTTTCATTTCCAAATCCTTATTTTTTTTTTACTTATCTCCAATCTGAAGGGAGACTGTTAAAAGCAACTCAATTGTTGTTTATAGCAGCTACCTCGAGTATGTTTGTATTACTGCTAGGGTTGCTCGGTATAGTGATCGATTTAAAATGGTTTTAGTTCCTGTGATTCTCTCACCGTTTGAAGTGATATGTGTGTTGTCGTCGGTTTCTTTTTTTTTTTTTTTTTGAAGAAAAGGGGGGGGGGGGGGGTAAAAAAAAGTTGTTGAATTCAACTCGGCCACCTTTTTCCCGTGCTTCGGTGTTTTGATCACGAAACTGCGATGAAATAAAAACAATAATGTCGCGCGTTTTCTTTTTTCTTTTTCGTTTATCTGTAGTCGTAATTGTCTTTTGCTATTTTAGCCGCAAGAATAGTCACAGCCTCCGCGCTCGACAGCCGGGACTTCGTCGAGGCCAAACTTCGTCTCACAAAAACAGTTTTAGTGAGACGCGTTTTAGTGGTCAGAAATGTGCAACATGGCTGCGGCCGGTGGGGGTCGCTTTCAGCTGCCGGTTTATCGCTCTACCCCGTTGGCAGACCCCAAGTTCGAGTTCGTCGGGTAGTCCTTTATTGTCACGGCATCGGCGATTCTCCCCGCTTTGCGTCGGAGATTTTGCTTCCTACCTGGCGCTCGGTATAATTATGCCCGAGACACACAAATGCCGAAACTAAGACTGTATCCCCCCTTGTAGGACTTTTCACTTTGTCGTCCTTTTTTCGGTCGCGCACCAGTCACCTAGCTGTGTTTGGAGATTTGTGTTTGTCCTTCGTCCCTCTTGTTCCCCTTCTCCAGGGATTATTTTCGTCATTCTTGTCCAGCTCGCTGGTACCTTTGCATTTAATTGCATTATAGTTATAACCTTGAATTAGAGCTTCACCCTTGTTGGTGTTAGACTGGTGGCGGCTGATCAAACCCGTTTGCTCTACTGACGTCTAACCCCCGGTTAGCTCAGTTGGTAGAGCGCTCCACCTGTAATGGAGAGGTCTCGGGTTCGATACCCGGACCAGGCGGATTTTTTCGGTCGCCCGCCAGTTACCTAGCTGTGTTTGGAGATTTTTGTTTGTCCTTCGTTCCTCTTGTTCCCCTTCTCCAGGGATTATTTTCGTCATTCTTGTCCAGCTTGCTGGCACCTTTGCATTTAATTGCATTATAGTTATAACCTTAAATTGCAAGCTTCACCCTTGTTGGTGTTAGACTGGCGGCGGCTGATAAAACCCGTTTGCTCTACTGACGTCTAACCCCTGGTTAGCTCAGTTGGTAGAGCGCTCCACCTGTAATGGAGAGGTCCCGGGTTCGATACCCGGACCAGGAGGATTTTTTCGGTTGCGCAGCAGTCACCTAGCTGTTTTTAGAGATTTGTGTTTGTCCTTCGTTCCTCTTGTTCCCCTTCTCCAGGGATTATTTTCGTCATTCTTGTCCAGCTTGCAGCTTTGCATTTAATTGCATTATAAAAATATGAAAAGGGGCGTTTTTTTATATGTACTGCTCTCGACTTGCCCACGAAGGCGATGAATGCTGGTACTTTCCCGTTCTAGTGCAAAGGAAACTGCAAAAAGTTGGCGGCGTAAATTCTGAGCTTGCGACTGCTACTGCATTTGCGTTGGCAGCTGTTGGCAAGACTGAATAGCTTACTTCCACACAGGTGGCGTCATCTGTCGGTAGTACTGCTAACCAACGCTGTCGGGCTGTTCATGTGCGTTGGGGTGCGCCAAGATAGGAAAGCTGGAGCGGTCACCCGGTGGGTGACAGGCCGCATAGATAAGCTATCGGTGGTTCTCAATCTTTAAATGAAAAAAAATCAGTATTTTTTTTTTTTTTTTTTTTGTGTGTGGGGGGGAGAGAGAGAGAGAGGGTTGGAAACGAAATAATACGAAGCAATACGAGTATTGTGCGCGCGAGGCTTCCAGAAAGCGTTGCGTATGGAACGCCGTGGACCGGCTGTCTGTGGTAGCTATGCTTGTGTAATGCTGACTTGACTTTGGCGTCACTTCGGGGAACACCGCTTCCCCTGCATTGCGATATTATCGCCGCGGAGCAGCGGGCTCTCTTATCTTCTTATCAGTCACTGTAGCAACTTGAGTTGGGCAAGTAGGCAAGCGTTGCATGAAAAGCAAACAATGCAAAGACAGAAAAAAAGGCGCGTGGATAAGTAAAATGAACACATAGATACAGCGCTGTGTCTGGTTGCGTGTCGAGTTTGCTGAGGTGTCAATTCGGCTGAAGGCTCAACTTGGCTGAAAGGTTAATTCGACCGGACGCTCTAATTCGACTAAATAAATGCTTTGTTTGGCTCAAGTATCTGAATTCATCTACATGGTTTTACTGGTGCATATGATTGGCTGAGGTCTCCCCATTTTACCTAACTGGGACTTCCAGTCAAATGAAGCATCCAACCAAATTATACCCTAGTTACACAGGCACCCTTGACCACAGTCTATTCTGACTGAAGCCACACCTAACTGTGGCTAAGGGTGAGGGTGCTTTTTGTAATTAGGGTAATAGAGATTCTAGCCAAACTGCTACACGGCCGTATCATTACGGTAGGCTTGTCCGAATTTTCAAAATCTTTGATTATCGCCTTAAATAACGTGCTACTCGATTTGATGTCTGTATCAAACACTGACAGCACTCGGAAGTCGTGCAGTATTTCTCATGTTAAGGTTCTGTTCACAGTTGGACAGGTAGCTTCGTTGAGTGTGTGTCTCATCGCGCACTGGTGCACTGCAGTGAAGCAAGAAACACGGAGTATTCATTGCGATTTTGTTAATCTTGCTTTGCCGCAGCGCAACTGCATGCTAAGGGTAAAGCACTGCTCCAGAGCAGGACGTTGAACTACACAAGCCTTAGGTATGCTCTGCAGCTAGTATATATGATAGACTGCAGCATTTATACGATTTTATTGCAAATTTAGCGAGGATACTTATGTATTGTGGGAAGATTTATATGGGTGGATCTATAAGCTTATGTGTTTACTTCAACTCGTTTAGTTACCACCTTTACCTAAGTATCATCTGTGCAATGGCACAATTAACAAAGTATATTAAACTAAATTAGCTGGAGTGGAGGATGGAATATTGGGAATAAACAATGAGTTTGACTGGAGTGTTTCTAGGGCTCATTTATTGTATCATGAAAACTAGTCAGTAAGTACTATGGCTTTATCTCACATCTATTGCATCTTGAATTGGTTTTGTTTTCAACTTATGAAACTTGTAATATGGGTTGTTAAAGGTCACAATGTTCTGTTTTTATGAGGCTTAAGTTGTGCTTCTTTAAATGGCTATGCCTTCTATTGGAAGTCCATAAGAGGAACCAACCTGCTACCAGGACAGTTCTGAATAGCTGCCGTTCAGATAAATTGTGATTATGCTGTTTGCTTTTTATGCTATGCGCTGGATTATATTTAAGGAAAAGGGTATGCTTGGAAATGTTTCTGGAACGTCATATGGAGATGCTTTTTCATTGTGATATTTTGTTTGTATTTAGAAAAACACCTCTCAGCTTATAGCTGCAAGTTTGACCTGGGTGACCAGCTCCAAGATTTACTTATACTGCTAGGAAGCATGACTTTTGTGACTCCTGAGCTACTCCACAGCGGAGCTTTTACTGCTTTAAAGAGGATCTTTTCTGCTCCCAGACCTGCAACAAAAAGCTGAAGCTTGCTTACAACTGCACATTAATGATTGCCAAGGGGGCCAGTTGAAAGAAGTATGTAGCATTGAGAACAAAGTACCTAAATTAGTTCTGCATAATCTACTTCTTGGTTGGTAAAAATAAACATGCTTCTAATAAGAAGTTGGCCGAGCAACATTGGTAAGCACCAATTTATTAAACCGAATGCAGCTGGGATTGACGGCGCAATGAGAGAAAAACACAGCTTGGAGTCGAGAGCAAAGTTTTGCCGAATCCTTGGAACGTCCCAAACCACTTAAGGAAATGAGGGAGCGCAAGTTTTGAGCAGCATTTGCATCCGGCAGGAAAACAAAGGCTGTCTCGTTTTCATGCAGTGTCGAGACTTTGTGAAGGCGGGGGCCACGAAGGGGCTGACGCCGGCGGACGTGGTTGCTGCCTCGGACGTCACCTTCTGCTGCGTCTCCAACTCCCACGCAGCGAAAGAGGTGAGCCTTCTCAGTCCGCCTGTTGTTGCATTATTTGTGTTTGACTTTCGGCATTTTCCAAAGCACAGGTCACTTTTTGTTTTATGCGAAAGCGTTAACTATCTTATGGAGGGGAGCCAGCAGCATCTGTAACCGCAAAACGACGCCAAAGAAATGCCCATTCTTTCATTGGTTAAGAAAAATGGCTCCTAGATACTCATTGGCTGTTTCGTCACGAAGGTATGCGCTCGGGCGCTGTTCTCGTGTCAGTCGTTACTGGAAGGGGGGGGGGGCGAGCTGCGGCAGCTTAATAAGAGCACGCATTCGACCACTGCTCTGCCTCTGTTTCTTTCGGCACCAAGGAGATGACTGTGCCTGAGGCATCTATATCGTCGACGGTGGCCGCAACCTCAGCAGTAGCGAAACGTGGCCGTCCACGCCAGTACACCGCAGACGAACTAAGGGAGCGGAAGAACGACATTCATGCTTTTGCGTTCACAACTCGTAAGAAGTGCTTAGGTGTCCTCGAAATTTTTTCGTGCATTATAACCATAATGTTTTTTTTGTTCTATATAGATTTTATCTGTGCAAGATGTAGGCTCTATACACATTTACCTCAAAGTTGGAACTGCCGATCACCTGCTGGCAGCCTGTTTTTTCGGCGGGCAAAGCCGGTTTGAAGTGTGGCAGCATAGATTCGCCGGTCGTACAAAAAGGTGCAACTTATATGCCAGCTTTTCTTTTTCTGAAAACGGCCGTGCATAGGGCTTGTGCAACTTACAGACTGGGAAACAAAGTGCTTTGCTGTCTCGCCAAAAGCGGGGAGCTTTGCTTCATTAACACAACTACAAGATGGGGCAAAGCCGAAAGAGAAGCATGCATGACTGGCGCTTGCAGCGTTTTCGTTACAACGTTCAGTCGCCAACTGTAGCTACTGTTAGGATGTCGAGGTAAGTGAAAAGTTTCAGTTGCCTCACCCCCGGCGCAAGGTTCCTACCTTCTATGATGCTTCGGCGCCTGATGAGCCATGGGCATGCATGCGCAGCCAAAGCACTGCGGAAGGCAACGAGCAGGTGCTGGGGGCCAGGCACGGGAAGGAGACACCTTTTCATTTTCATCCTGTTAATAACCATACACCCTTTACCGCAGGGGTGGAACGGCTGCGCCATTTGCGCCATTTTGCGCCAGACGCATTTGTCTGCGCCATCCTGTGCCATGTTTCGGAAACTGCGCCACAGTCAATACCTCGCGCCATTATGCACCAAATTGGAAAACGTGCGCCAAAAAAATTGTATTTTGTCTTGGTTTCGGTTTCTATCGACTCGATTGGCAACAATGATCGCGTTTAGCTTGGTCGGCCTTGCAATCCTTTTTTTCTCTTTATTCTCCCTGTGTATCCCGAGTAGGAAGTGTGCGAAAAAAACTCGGGGTTCGGATTCCAAGCGCTACACCATCTGCCTCTGGATTGTTATTCTTCAACCATAAGCGGTTAAACAAGTCGGTCGAGGTAAGGTCGAGTCGTTAAGCGTCAGATTGCCTGAGGCTCCGCAGCCCGGGATCCGGACGTCAGTCAGTTGAAAACAAATGAGCAAAAGATTCCTTTGAGCACTTCATCGTTAGAAGTTGGAACCGCATTCCTGCAAGATAAATCGTGATTTGATAGATCTGAAACGCAGTCCGATCCGAAACCTTGCCGGCCAGCAGCTCTCACGCGAGCGGTAGATCTGCTCGGCATACGTTAACCTTGCTCCTGCTTATCGCTTCGAATACGATAACTCCGTTAATCGTAGTCTGCTGCTTCGATATTGAGTTGCACAATAGGATAAACTCGAATTTTGTTGCGATATTGAGTTGCGCAATATGAGAAACTCGAAATTTGTTTCCCTGTTCTTCCGCGCAACTGCACGTTCGTTGCTTACGCACGTCACGTGGTTCGCACATAAAATCACTCTGTCGAGGACGTGTGGACTGTGCGATAAGCGGTGCTGGTTTGCATTTTGAGCAGCTGAAAGCCACTCAGAAAATATCAAGGCTCACAAAGTTCCAAGTTTTCGCAACTGTTACACTGTTATCCCATCTGCCTAGGTCCCTAACCACTCATGTTTATCTGGGCTGCTAAGCTCAACTGAAATTGCTCCCGTGCTTGTCTAAGATACAAGCTGGAGTGCAATGAAAACTGATCTGAGCTGCTCCTAGCCTGCTCCAGAGTGTAGTTTTAGCTGCTCCCAACCTGCTCCAAAACAGCTGTTTTAGCTGCTCCCGTGGCTGCTCCCAAGCACATTTCATGAGTTCCACCCCTGTACCGTCTACAAGCGAAAACCGTCTTTTGGCTCCCAAATGATTTCCGGTCTTTTGGGAGCAAAATCAGACAGGCACAACTTGACTTCTCATGATAAAAAGGCTCTAGGTACACCTAAACACTTCATATGAGTTGTGAATGTGAAAGCATGCATGTCGTCGTTCTGGTTCCTTAGTTCGTCTGCGGTGCACTGGTGTGGACAGCCGAGCGCGCCCTCTCCTCACTGCACTGACCTTGGCGGTGATGCCACTGCCTTGCTCGGCGGCCAGGCAGTTCATTTGACCGGCGTGCTGGCGGTGCGGACCCGCAGCGCCATGGGGTGGCAGTCCTTGAAACTATTGACGCGCGCCAGCCAATGTTTTGGCTTCACTGTTCTCTATTGGGAGCAAGGAAATTAGGTGCCGTTTGGCTAGGCTTTTCGCGCAGCATCAAAGCTGAGAGCCATCAGATCGCGGCTTCACTTGGAAAAGGTCAGGTGCCGTTTGGCGCGGCTTCTGAGCTGATGACATCGGCTCGCTCCATGGGACGGTAAATGCTTCCGCATTAAAACACTACTAGACAAGTTAGCTTGCGCCCTATCAGGCTCGTTTGAGCCTCTTACTTGGTCTGCCCTCATAATGATTACACACATGTTCAAAGGTAAGAAAACTGAAATGCTCACTTTTTTTCTGTCTTTTGTGGTTGCACATTCATAGGTTTCCGAGAAAATGCCGTGCGGTTTCTATGGCAGGCGCAACCCATCATTCGAGTCGACTTTTGGATACAGGCGTGTCTCTCCGCACGACTTCATTGCCGTTGGTGCACGTCGTTTCAGATGGTGTTTGGGAACTGCGGTGTCCTGCAAGAGATCCGGAACAACAAGGGCTACGTGGAAATGACATCCATAGACCCCGACACGTCACAAGACATATCCGAGGTGCGTGCCAGACGTTGTCGCTCGTTTCAGGGTGTTTACCTAACTCCTACGCTTGTCAGTAACTTATCAGTAGTGATTAATATTTCTAGGGGAAGGGGGGGGGGGGGGGGGAAGTCTCTCAAGTACAAAGGGTTTGTTTGGTTGTTTTGTTTTTTTTACAGTTTTTGTGTTTTTTAGTGTAAGTCTGCCATTGGCAAAAATATTGGCATTTGTCCAGGCTTGTGTCGAAGGAAACAGGACACGGACATAGAATTTCCCAACTTGCGGGGAGTACAGCCAAACCCATTTATAACGAACAGCAGGAAACGCTACGATCAGTTTCATATAGCAAGTAGTTCGATATAGCAAAAAACATTTACAACGAACTTCTACGATGCGTTCGTTGTAAGGCCGAGAGCTTCTCTTTCTTTCTCATCTCTTCGCTTCCGCCGTGTAACTCCTCGCTGGAAAGACTTTTTTTTTTTTTTTTTTTTTTTTTTTGGCATGCGTGCAGAGTTTGTTTTTTAGCTTATCTCTCCTTTTGAATCGCTTCTCTTCGCTCAATTATGTTCGCAACTTGAGCTTTTGGAATTTTCTTTCTTTCCTACTTCTGTTTTTGGGGGAAGGGACAGGCTAGAAGACGATTGTTTGCGCGTTTTTTGAGACCTTTCCAGGAAAAAAAAGTTTGATATAGGCAATATGTTGTTCGTTATAAAAAGTACTTTTTACATGCATCCTTATTAAAATTTTCCATGAGTTCGATATCGACAATAATTCGCTGTACGTGGGTTCGTTCTAAACGGGTTTCACTGTATGTGAACGACCCAAGTACTTGAAAAACATTTGAGTGCCGGTAAGAGGGGGAAGGCGGGGCAGTGGGCATGGTTCCCGAAGAAAAAAGCGCACAGTTCGGGGGAGAGCAGTGTTTCGGACCAACACAAAATTAAGTCATAGCTAAAGATTTCTTTCCGTGGGGCTTGGGTTTCTCTTATTCAAAAGCAGCTCAACTCCTTTTTTTTCTTACTTTTTTTTTTGGTAAGACGGGCAAGGACATTTATTTTCAGGGGTTCATTGGTATTTACCGAAGATGCAGAACCCTACTTACGAGCTGGAAATATTCTCGGCTATGTTAGCAGGTTGTCTGTGCCAATCTGGAAAAACTGATGTTGACGGGGATTTTCAGAGCATCTGGAAAATTTTCGAGAAGTTGGCTAAGTCGGGGAAAACAGGTGCCATGGACGGCGCAGCAACATGCAACAGAGCAGAAGGGTGTGGCATGCGGCGGTGTAGACAGCCTTCATACAGAGTAACAACTGCTCGAAGCATCGCTAGGCGGCGTAAGCCACCATCCGATTTGCCGGATCAAAGGAGAGCAGCCACTACAACCCGATCCTCAGCATTTTCTTCTTTCGTAAGGCCCGCTTCAGACTAAACAACTTCCCCAGGAATTTCGGTGCTTCTGGCAAGTGTTCCATAGCTTTCCGTAGTGCGACACGAATGGCTCGGATCGCATCTGGCTGGAAATGGACGAGCAACTCGGAGACGTTTGTAGCTTCAGCATCAAATCAGGGACGCAATATTTTCACATGACACCCTGGGCCGGTGATGATGACAACAAAGGACTTGGGTCTGGTTTGAAATCGATCGTTTTTGGAAATAAACCATTTCAGAAAGATGAATTAGTATTCTCAATGACATTTAAAGGTATGAAAACATGTTTATAGCATGTAACTGCGTGTCTAAATAGTGCAAGAAAAATCTAGTTTAACGATGATGATGGTAAATCGCAGAAATCAGTTGCTGCGTGCGAACGCAGGTGGCCCGTGTTCCTGGCGTTGCGACATCGAGTTGCTGGGGGAAATTTCCACATCTGAAGCTGGCCTAATGGTCAGGGAGTTTGATCAAAACGTTTGGGGCAAACCCAGTAGAGTTAGAGGGAATTCCAGAGGGGCGCCCAAATAGCGGCTTCACGAGCGCGTCTCCGTTGCCGCAGGCCATCTTGTTGCGGGGCGGCCGCTACCTGGAGGCGCCCGTGTCGGGCTCCAAGAAGCCGGCCGAGGACGGGACGCTGATCATCCTGGCGGCCGGCGAGCGGTCCCTCTTCAACGACTGTGCCAGCTGCTTCGAGGCCATCGGCAGGCACGCCTTCTACCTGGGTGGGTGGGTGGGCGCTTTGACGCCAAGAAAAGAAAGATTGGCCCTCTCCCTCATTGTTCTGGCAAAGAGCGATGCAGAATGCGGCGCGACGTAGAGCGGCAGTTGCTAATGGAGTGCAAACGGCAGGGCGCATCTTTCAAATGCCCGTACTCCGGCCCGCCTGTGCATGGCATCATCGCTAATGAATTCCCGACCCACCCAAGGCAGCAGACGCATTTGTCTTGGCATTGCGCTTGTCCTGTTGTCGGCGGCAATGCTGACACAAGCTAGGTGGCGCTGCATAGATCTGCTAGCGATATATAATATATGTAGTATATAATAGGGGGTAAGGGCAACAGAAATGCAGCTGTAATGAAAAATAGAGCACTTTGGAATTACAACAGGTATGAGGTGGTGAAAGAGATTTGGAAAGGGGGTCATGGTCCCTGGCTTGACTTTTGGAAACGCAGTGCTATGCGTGAAATCCGAAGTGCATGCAAGACTAGAAATAAAACAGCGCGGAGTAGGTAGGCTGGCTTTGGGGGCACATTGCAAAACGCCAAACCAGGGAGTACAAGGAGACATGGGATGGGCGTCTTTTGAGAACAGGGAAGCGGTGAGCAAGATAGAATTTGAGGATCGGTTGAGGCAAATGGATGGGGACCAATGGGCACGAAAAGTTTTCAGCTATATATACATGAGGAGCGTAGACACAAAGTGGAGACAGCGCACTAGGAAATTAAGAGGAAAGTTTTTAGGCTATAGTGGAGATACGGAAGAGCAGGTCTCAGTTAAGAAGAAAGTTAAGGCCACAGAAAGAGATTGGTGGCTAGACGGAATGCAGACAAAGACGACTCTTTGAAGCTATAGATTAAACAAAACAGTTATTGCCAAAGAAAGCATTTATGACAATTCTAGGGGAAGCTCATTGTTGTTTGAGGCGAGGACGGGTGTTCTGCGAACTGGAGAGCGAGGTACCAGGAAATGGATACGGTGTGCACTGCTTGTGGAGAGGAGGACGAGACGGCTGAGCACTTGATAATCTACTGTAAAGGGCTTCACCCTATGCCTACTGAAGGCAACATGGATTTAATAAAGTCCTTGGGTTTTAGAGACAGCGAAGGGAGACTGGATTTCAAGACTGTAGAGATTACCAAGCAAAGATTAAGTGAATGGTGGCAGAAAGCGAGAGAAAACTAGGTATTTTCTTATTAACTGATGGCAAGGGGGTTTATAGCCCAACTTTCTTTGTAGTGCGGAGTAAATATAGATTTCACATTTAAATATTCTAAGCTTAAATGGTAAAACAAAATGGCTAGGTGGCATAAGCTACCGCCCAATCCAAAGGGCTCAGCTGCATTCATGCATCCATCATCCATCCATCCATCCATCCAGCGATGACATTTCAAGACGAAGATCGAAAGTATCGAAAAAATTTGTCCCTTTCATGCACTGTCATTATGGTGCATCAAACGCGTCTCCAACTGGTATGTGTACCGCGTCCAAAAAGTGGTCCCTCAATTTCTGCCGGCTGAGGTTGCGAAAATTTTCTTTAATCGTTATTCATTTAACTTTTGCAGTGTCTGTGGGGCATTGTTGCGGGGCCGAACAATAACGAGAACTTTTTGGCATTTGTGGCGCAAAGTGTCATTTCTTGTGGCTCACTCCAGTCCTCTATTGTCCTCGCAAAAGATTAATTCTCACAGTGCTCCGTCCCAGTGCCGCGTTCAGTTACTTTGAGCATGTGACCTTTTCAATAGAAAAATAATTTGGTATTGATAGGCACTGAGATCAGCTGATAATACCGGCGGTTTTGTGGTAGGTAATGTATAAAAATATTAAACATAAATTTTCGTGCCTAATCTTTGATGGACAATGGCCCAGTGAGTTTTTCGTACAGCAAAACCTCGTTATAACAAAATGGGATATAACAAACAAATGGATATAACAAAGCAATCATAATTCCCCTTGCTTGAATAGTTGGAAGAAATGGACATTGGCTATAACAAAGTAATGGTTATAACAAAGTAATTACGACCGCTCCTTCAACTTCTTTATAACGAGGTTTTACTGTATTAGTGATGCTCGAAAATCGGTTGTCACGGTTGTGCTGTTGCCTGCTGCATTCCTGTTGGTGGCACTGCAACAAAGCCGGATGCGGCAGACGCCTGTTCTGTCACAGGTTACTGTTCAGCTTAACAGCCTGCGGAATAGTCGGGACGTCGCAACGACAGCGACGCCCGCCCTTTTTGTCTGCATTCCTATGAGAAACCACCAGAGTCATGACGCCTGACGTCGCCGGAGCCCGTTGGCTCCCGCGACATCCTTTGTTGTTATTTCTGAACCGCTTTCGACGCAAGGGCGGTATAAACGGCCAACATGGTGGTCAGAGACGCGTGTCTGGTGCCATACTTTATTGCGGAAAAGGCATTGGAGTCGCAGAATGTAGTGTGCATCGCTTCGCGCCAATGCTGCACGGAGGAACTCTGTACGCATTTTGTGCCTAGACGGTGCAAACGTCGTCGCACGTAGTGTCGGCAAAAGAAAGCCCTGCCAAAGCTAGCACTCCGGCGGGAGTGCTAGCTTTGGCAGGCTTTGACTCGAAGATTGCGTCTCTCACGGTCGCGGCCCGGCTTCGACCTCGTGGCGGTAGCGGGGTCGAAGCTAGCCCGGCGCGTGCACCGGGCTGGCTTTGACCCCGCTACCGTCACTGGAAGCTAGCCCGGTGTACGCGCCCTTTTGTCGTGGAAGAGCATTGTGGGAAGTGGCCAGGAGCCCGAGATATTCCGTGTCGAAGGACAAGAAGCCCCGCCGCTCTCACCTTGTCGACGATCGCGGTCTTCGAAGTGGTCGCCTCTCCTCGCCTCTTGCGGAGCGCTCACGTCTGTCGTTTCCCGTGGATGTCCAGGGGACGTGGGCAACGGCTCCAAGATGAACCTGATCTTGAACATGTTGCTGGGCACAACGTTGGCGGGCCTCTCGGAGGCCATGGCACTCTGTGACCGGGCCGAACTCTCCCAGAAGGACCTGCTGGAGATCCTGGAACTGGGGGACCTCAACTCACCCATCATCACTCAGAAAGGGCAAGGTACGCTCCCGCTGCAGTTACCGGACGCTGCAGGTGCTCAAATGGACGCTTGACACTTCTAAAAAGTGCGCGCCTTTTTCGATTGCTCCGAGCCGGCTGTGTCTTGGACAAGCGCCTTGGGCGTCCGTTGGACACTTGCTCTCAGCGTCGACTCTCAACGGGTCGTATGCTTCACGGAGGAAGTGATGACCAAGAAATGGCGACCGCCAGTGTTGCTCGACAGGATTTCGAAAGGGCTCTGTAGCCCTTTTTCAAAACCCCATTGGGCAACGTTGGCAGTCGCCGTTTCTTGGGCACGAATCGCGTGACTGGATCAGAGTCCTCGCTAAACATTTACACAACCCTCATGTCCATCACATGCTCGGAGTGTGCACCCAAACAATGGTGAACTCAGATAATTGACATAGCGTCTACTAGATGGCGCACACTTTCGAAAAGGATCTATTGCAGAAGTTCCAGCACTTCCGGCGGGCGCCCTAGCAATTTTTTAGGTTCTCCAGGCTTCTCTAGCCAAGCCAAGTTTAATCTATAGCGGGAGTTCTCGTGCTTTTCAATCTCGAAGAATTTTTCTATGTCTCGACTCAAAACTGAGTTACCCCCGCCGGTCTCCGCAATGATATAATAAAGCGGAGCAGAAGCCTACAAAGCTTGTAAATAATGTTGCACATTCTAGGGAGTGTTTTTCTCTTATTCATGCATCAATGGGTGGCTTAGATACGATAAAATAGTGCGTAAACCGGGGACACGCTCTACTCGGGGGCAAGGGGGTCGAGGAAATAGGGGAGCTTGGGGAACCCGTGAAGACCCTCTGAGGAGCCTCTGGCCTAGCGAAATGTGGTGGTGAATGCTACAAAGAGTGCAGCCAGAGTATTTCATTTTATGTATGCATTGATCATAAGCTAACATTTTGCGACCCTTTGGGGTTAGGATATGCCCCTTTTGATAAAGCACCTTGTTTCATCCAGTTTAAGAGGCATCGTGCAGTGGGGTATGTAAGCTCGAGGTACCACCGCCCCTCTTGCCGTTAAGTCGTGGGTTGAATTCCTGCTTTCGACAAGCTGGTGAGCTTTCGTGCGCCACCCGTCTCGCAAATGTTGCATTTGTTACCGTAGCCTCACTGAGTTTCCACAGCAGTGAACCATGGCAGTTTAACTTGTGGGCATAACTTAATACTGTCTAAGCTTCGCTCTCAATTTCCTTTCGGTTTTAATTGTGCCGTGCGCTTTTACGGATTCGCTACTACTTTGCCATCATGCATTCTCAAGCGACGCTAAGGTTATGAAAATGATCACCAAAAGTCACAGCATACCCTTACATCTAAGCGAAGCAAAGAAACAGCTAGTGAAAATGGTAGATACCATTATAATGCTAGCAAAACAGCACACAAACTTTGCATTCTTGGCAAATGAAACGCCCGACAACGAAAGTACAGTCAACCGAAGCGTAATTAAAGGTTCCTTATCTAATGTGGGCTGTTTCAAAGATTGGAGAAATCTAAACAATGAAGGAGAGATTGTCAAGCTTAAGCAATGCGGTTCACGCTAGCAGAGGCAACCGTACGACAGAGCAGTTTTCCCAAGAATTCCCAGGGTGCCTCACGCGCCGCCACAAGGATGCACACCACTTTTCCAAATGGCACAACGTTTGACGCGCGGCCGTTTTCATTGCTGTCGTGTTTGCCATTTGCCGACAGTGTTGCCGTTTGGACTTGCAGCAATCATTGAGGGCACATTTGCCACCCACATGCCCCTGCAACACCTCCAGAAGGACATCTGCCTCGCCATCGGCATCGGCGACCAATTGGAACAGCCGCTACCAGTCACAGCCGCAGCCAATGAGGTGCCCTTCCACTCTGTACTCGTCCCATAGAACCCTTTTGTAATGAGGGCTTTTGTTTAGTACAAAACGTGCCCCCCAGTCGTTTGTTATCTGTAGGCCAACATTTAAGTCTGGTTCGCACATTTGCATGTGAGCAGTCATTAAGCACTCGTGACCACTTGCAAAAATATGCACTGGGATACCAACGCCATCTATGAGGTAGGCCTGCAACCGCCGCTAAGAGGGGAAATCATTTTTATATGCCAAAAATTTCCTGAATTTTTTTTTCTTTTTTTGTAATAGTGATCTAAAAGTTTAGAGCTGTTTTGGCAAGTTTCTAATTTTGTGCATCACTATTAGTGCTAAAATATCAATTTTTAACATCTATGTAGGCTGGGTTTGCATTGAAGTTAGTTCTGAAACGGAATTTTCTCGAAACACAAAATTCGCGCTCCTTGCAGATTTGCTCGAGGAATAACTCGGCATCTTGGGCAAATAGAAATATCAATATCACTTTCTTTTTTTTTTTTTCTTTTTTTTAATGCAATATGTTGCAAAATATGTGAGGCATACAATGCTGAGGGCAGAAGTTTTACTGGAAATTTTTCAACTGATCTAGCGTTTTATCACTTAATTGCCACATGTTGAACACTGACCTTCAATGCTTCGTAAAATCACCAATAATGGTTCAATCTCGAAGGTACTTCCGACGTTGTATTCTTCATACTTTGTAGTATCTGGCCATGCATTAAACATAATTTTTTGTTGAGTGAATGTTTCCCGCGTTGTTCCTGAAAACAGGCAGGTGAGTTCTAATTATTGTGGATACTGAACTGCTGACTGGAAAACTGACCAGATATATTTGCAATCAGCAAGAGAAACTGAACAAGCTCGTGCACCTTCATTGAGTCGAATTCCATCAAACAATGCGAGGAGCAAGTCGTCTGCCTCTTGCGCAGGGGTTGCGGCGACGTCAGGAAGACACTGAGTTCTGATGGGCTTTGATTGGAAGGATAGTGGGTAGACGTTAATGCTAAATGCCTCAAAATCTACCCGCTTTTTTTTTTCTTCAATTGTTTAATAAGAGCTTGGCGTTCTGACATCATCGCAACCCCTGTGCAAGAAGCCGATGAACTTGTGCTCCACGTAAGGATGAAAGCTTCAAGACCAGTGTTTCCCCTTATCTACTAGCGTGAAGATTTTGCAGTCTTTGCGAGATAGAGTACACACTTCCTATGAGAAACGGGTGTTTTTAACATTGTCATAAGTTTATCAAGCCCATAGTGAAAGAGTAATACGGAAAAAATAATTAGGAAAGGTATGGAAATCGCAAGCGTTCCTGGGCCACCGGATAGGTGGCACCGGTGTCTCCTCGTTGCAAGCAATCTCAAGGGACAGCAGGGCTGCGTAATGCACTCGATTGCAACCAAACACAAGTGTGTGAACCAACCTTTGTACTCTAGTGTGGTGCGGCGAATGTCGGCACTTTGTTCTCAAGTTTGCTACTTCGTTACCTTGCGTGCAAAACGACATTGACGCTGGCCAGCATTGCTACTCGGGCGGGAGAATGCCGACGCCGGCAGACTTCGCCTGACGTTTGCCTCATTTTTGCCTCGCGACAGCGATTGTTCTTTTGTACGTCATATTCGGTTTCTGAATACCGTAATATCCCGACTCGTCACCCATCCCCGAGTCATCGCCCATCCCACTTTTTGGGCAAAAATCAATTTTTGCCCAAAAAGCCAGCGAAAAAGGCTTCCCTGAGCCTTTTTCGCTGGTCGTCAAAGCCGCTTGTTCCAGCCTTCTTCATTACGACGTCCCCGGATTTCAGGGGGGTCGATATCGTCGATTGAGAGTGTTCATACTTCCGGACGAGACTTCCGACCTTGAATCTTTGCCGCCTATCACGTAGGATTTGCTTTTTCTCCTCGAAGGAGATAGCTTTTCGCTTCGTCGGAGCCATCTTTCACGCCCGCAACGCGGGGAAGAGGAGGGCGGGGAGGGGTTACGAGGTTACGGGTATGATGATGATGATGATAGCGCCAAGGTTTTGAGGCCGTGCGCAGCACCTACTCACGGAGTATTCGGTCGGGGCCCATCGGCGATCATCGCGTCCGCCGATCTCGGTCGTTTCTTCGCGGAATTTCACCATTTTTATCTCATTTTCCGTTGAATTTTCGTAGTAAACACATTCCACGCGATCATTTATTAATCGTTATATCCGATATGCCGAAAAAAATGCATCGCTATATATGGTTTATTTTTACATAAAACCGATGCAAAAATTGATGCTTCTATAAAATCGATCGTTATAACCGATATATCGTTATAAGTGGACTGCACTGTACCCCAACGCAAACCTTGCGATCCGTGAGAATTCGTCCTACCCGAATGACGCAGCCGCAAACCTTACGGTTAGAGGAAATTCGTGACAAAGTAAAATGAAAAAGGGGAAGACACTTCACTTTGTTTTCAAACCTTCTCCCCAATGGCTGCAAAACGAAATCAGAGTACATGCATGCGAAAGAAAAACAAAGAAGATAACAGAATCTTTTGCTTACAAAAAAGTTCATTCGGACAAAAAACTAAAGTGAAAAGGTAACACAAGCCTTAACCCATTCAGGGATTGCGCGGTCAGAGAATGCCCCATATCCCGGAATGTAACTGCGGAGTGTGAAGTCAAAGTTTGTCTCCACAGAAATAAGGTCACTGCGAATATCTCCTTCTTCCGGAACGTCGCGACCGCGGTTGGTAAGGTTGTGCGATGTTTCAGACAAAGCCAGCCGGTAAATAAAGGTTTGTTGGAATGCCGCACACAGGCGTTTGTAAAACGTCCCATTTAGAGCTCTGTGTTTGTGGTGCTGACGTGGCGCCACGCAGCAACGCCGCCTCATCCCGCGTTCATAGCACGCCGTGCATGAGCGCACGCATGCATGCACCAAACGAGAAAGTTGCACAAGTGCCTGCTCCTTGTGGTTGACTAGATGCCCGACTTGGCCCAACGCTAAAATACTTGTCAACGCGATCACCGGGTTTCCCGCTTTCCCAGCATCTCTTCTTTCGCCTGCAAGCTTGCTCGTTGCACCTTATTACTTTTTCTATTTTCATAATGGCCATTTTTCTTTTTTTTTTTGCTCCATTTTTTTTTTTAAATTTTTATATCGGGGAACAAAAGTTTTAGAAACATGCTATCATGAAACAAGCGTTCGCATTGTATGCCATTCGGCAGTGTTCATCGTTCGTATGCAAGCAACGGACATCGCGATAGTAAATATTTTTAATGAGCATTTTTTTGTATAAAACAATGGCCCTAATTCGAGTTTTTATTTCATTGTATTTCTTGTGCAGCCATGCTTGATACATATTTTTAAAAAAAAATTGGTGTTTTCTAAGCTTTTTCTAACCTTTCTGTGCTTTCCCACCGAGACATGGCCCATCCCACTTCTTTTTATGAATTGCAAGCGGCAGGGGGTGGGCGATGACTCGGGATATTGCGGTAAATCTTGAAAAAGAAGTACCAGTGGCAGAAGTTCTTACCAATACGCCGGAACAGCCCCCCAATTTCGTTGTTCCTCTTCTCGCTACCCTCTCAGTTTGTGAGGGGAAGGAACTGTAATGTTTTGCATTGCGGAAACTGCATCTAAATCAAACGAAGAGCGTGCTATTTTAAATTTCTCAGTGTGCGAGACAACAGCTGTGTCTTTTTCTGAAAAAAATATGCTTTCTTGCTAGCATTTTTGGCCAGTGTTACGTGCCGACTTACAGAAACAAGAGCGAGCATCAATTAACGCCGACTGTAAATTGATACAATTATTCTTTTGTGTAGTACCCCTCATGTTTTTGTAGAGCGCAACTCTTAGGCACCTGTTTCCGGGCTGAGCGGCGTCCGCGTCGCCGTCGAACAAACAGAATTTAGTGGGAAATCTAATACTATGCGCGAAATTTAGAGGGAAAATTTTCGCTAAATTTCCCACTAAATATAGTCGGAAGATTTTCCCTAAATTTCCCACTAAATACAGCAGGAAAATTTTCACTACAGCTCCGGCTAAATTTAGCGGGAAAATTTTCGCAAAGTTTAGCAGGAAATTTAGCAAAAACTTTCCTCTAAATGGAGGAGGAGATGAATACCCTCCCCTCCTCCTCCTCAAGAGTTGCGCTATGATTTCACATTACAGAAAATTGTAATTGTCTTTCATTTTTTTAGATTGTACATATCTTATGTACCGTATTTACTCGCATATAAAACGCACTTGTTTCCCAAAAAATTGACGCATATTTAGAGGGGATGTTCATTACGCGGAGGAAAATTTTTGCATTTACACACTCTGCGCAAATGTCATTTTAAGTGCCAATATGACATGGCAGGGTACTGTGGCACGTCTCCACTGACAAGCGCACCCATGCCTGGTCATGGGCACACCACAGTAACCATGCTCTATAAATTGCGAACCTTTTTTAGGGTGCTTTTGGCGTGCCCTTTGCTGAAGAAAAAGTGCCCTACAAAGCTCTCTTAGCACAGAAAGCGATGCGACCGTTCCTAGGCCTAACCACTTTGGAGATATCACTGTCCGATAGCGGATCGCAGACGGCGGCGATTAGTTGACGTCAATGGGTCCAATGGACGAAGCACGTCTGGGGCTGGGCAATTCTTTGACCCCAGCTTCGCTAGACGTGCGTGCCGCTCGGTTTCACGTTTGATCACTTCCGCAACCACGCAATTCGAGTCATTGCTAGAGCGGCTTGGCTTGGCTTGACTTGGCCTGGCCACTTGGCAGCAAAAGAAAATTGGCTTCAAGACTCGCGGAGCCGAAAATTAAAACTGCGTTCATTACGCGAGAAAAAGAAAAAAGTCCAAATATTGATGCCCGTTGTGGAAGGTGCGTTCATTATGCAAGTGCATTCATTATGCCAGTAAATACTATATCTGCCCTTTTTTCTTTTCTTTTTTTTTTTTAACTTAAAGTTTGATTTACAAAAGTTTTGCTGCACTTTGGGGGGCTACCACATATTTGAAATCAGCACAAAATATCGAACCAGGTTGTACAGTTTCGTTAAAGGCCGACCTACAAAATCATTTTCTGCATTGTAGGAAAAGCCTCCTTGCCACTCTTCCAGTTCCCCCTCTCTAATTGCTGCCTTGACAGCAGGGAGACTCCTTTTGTTGCTGCATCTTGGGGCTGGATAAGCCGGGGTAAGCTCCCGGCTTATCCAGCCCTAAGATAAACCAACAAAAGGAGTCTTCCAATGATCAAGGTACAAGGTACCTGTGGGAGAGGAGGATATGGGAAGGGGGTGAGGAGAATTTTCCTATCCCATGGAAACTGATTTTCTAGGTCCGCGGCTAATGAAACTGCACAACCTGGTTCAGTTTTTTATGCTGATTTCAAATATGTGGTTGTTACTTCAGCAAGTCAATTAATTCTTGGGATAATGAAAAATATCCTGCCAAGCGATTGATCAGACCGAATGAAAAGGTTAAAAGCGCGAACGGAAATAAGGACAATAAAAGACACAAAGACGACAGGACAGACGCTAACTCAAATAATTTTATTAGAAACCTCGTCACTTATATGCACACTCGTTTGCCCAACTTGCTTCTGAGCCAATCACCACTCTTACCAGCAGCCATTCAAAAGAGTCGCTTCTTTTTGAAGCAGGTAAAGAGAAGGTGCACCAACATGTTCGTCATCTGTCTTTTTGATAGAAAAGGCGTCCATAATATCTCTCCCTGTTTTATCTTTTCGTGACTTTTTTATTTTTTTTTTAATTTTTGTTGATTTTAAAACAGGTTTACCGCCAGCGCATGCATCTCTTACAGTGGTCTGCCTCCCACGTGGTTGTGCACAAAAGATTATGCTTTCGTGCTCCATCATTTAAACAGTTTCCAGTTTGCCCGATGTAAACTTTTCCATGGCTTAGCAGTATCTTGTATACAACATTGGTGACACATTCAGTATACTGCACTGCATGCTTCTTACACGTGCTTTTTTCTGCTGTGTCAGCATAGTACAGTTTTGAGAGAGTTTGCAAGGTGCTGAGCCTTTACATCATAGCTACTGGCTTTCTTTTTCATGTTGGGGCATATTTTATGCCAGTACGGAAATCGGAAATCATGTTTACTCCTCTTTTATCTTTCTTTGTCTGGCTGCACCTTTGTAGGTTAATACTTTTTATTTCTTGAAAAAGGCTCTTGCAGCAGCTCGAAATTAGGTCAGGGGTGTACCCTACGTTTCTGTTTGTGCTTTTAACCTTATAAATCAGTATGGATTAACTCTGCTGAACCAAAATTTTAGAGGCTAGAAGCGGCAAGGTGCACAAATTGCAGTGTGGGAAGTACTTTTTCAGATTGCTTCATTATTAGTGACTTCACGACGCATTGAAGTTCAGTGCATGGCAACCAACTGAAAAGAAAAAAAAAAGAGAAGAAAAGGAACACTTTAGCAGTTACTTTTGAAATGACCATAAAAGAAATGCTTGATTTATGTTGATCCCACGAATAAATTCTGTATACACAGGATGTGTTTCCGCGGCATTCTTAGGACTTGTAATCGACAGTGCCAGGTGGGCTTTTTATTCCGAACTCTGTCCTTTTTTTTGTGATGGTGGGCACGTCTTGGATTTCTTGTTTCTTCTCGAACTGTTGGAATGCCGGAATTCGCACAACAACAGCTAGTTGCTACTCCTGTGGCAGAGACACGGCCAGCCAGCTTTGCGCCCACTCACTTATTGGCGCGGTGGTAGAATGGCGAGCTCGAAATGGCGGGGTCGTAGGTTCGGTTCCTGTTGGGGCACGTTTAGGAATTCATTCTTTCATCTCCATGTACTACTTTTTTTTTTATTTACAGATTGTTATCCGAAGTACTGTGTGTTAAAGATTTTGTAAAGGTTTTGTCTCAATTCATATCTTTTGTTTACTGATTGTCATTTTTAACTTTCCCTGGGAATCCCAGTCCTTAAACACCTGTGTTAAAATTCCCTTGACCTAGATTGAAAAAAATCTGTGTCTGTCACCGGTTGCAGGTTTTCAAGCACGCCAAAAAGCACGGCTACGCGGAACACGATGCATCTGCAGTCTACATTCGAACGCGGCTCTGAGAAAACTTTTCCTGGGCGGGACATACAAGGGCAAGGCAAGGCACGGCACGGGACAAAAGACGGACACGGCTCCACAAGTGGCTCAAGCAAGCCAATCCAATCCGGATGCACGCCGACGACCACCATCCCAGACTCGACGGAAAGGCGGCGGCGCAAACTCAGTCTCAGTATTTTCCCGGTTTTGAAGCATGTGATTGGTCCCTTAGGCTCTTCGATTTAATTGACCGAAATTAATCTTTTTGTTTGTTTACGTTGTCGCTCGCACGTTTTTGTGTCAGAAGGGAAAAAGGAAGTTCTGTGTTGCCTAGACTTGAAAATTGTGTAGTAATATGGTTTGCTTTTGTTTTGTTTTACCCGGTGCTGGCGCACTTAGCATGAAGAAGGAATTGTCATGATTTGTTTTTCTCTTCCTGGTTTTTTTTTAGATTTGGAATGCAGTCATTGAAGATGTCTATGTGCTAGAATTTACTAATCCGAGCCACCAGGTTAGGCTTGAAATTTAGTGTTCATCTTCGTAAAATTGAGAAAGGCGCCACTGTCATGTTCGTGCTAACTGTGCCGCACTGTGTGCCGTAGAACCTTTTGAAGTTAAGACTGATATAATGAAAAAGAGTATTAAGTAAGTTTCTATAAGGGTGCAGGCATTTGAGGTATTGATACACTAAAGTATATCCTTGGGAAAAGGAAAACAAAAAAAACACCGACTTTGTTTTGTTGAGATTTTACGGTTGCGATAAATAGAGGCGTAGGTGGCATGAAAACACAAGCTTGACTCGTAACATTGCATCGAAACTGGTTGTCAGGGTCGTGGGGTTATTGTCTGCTGTTCCCTTCTGTTCCCAAGAGGGGGGAAAATGGGTTCGATCATTGCCGTCTCTGTGTACAGCCTTTGTTTTTGTTCTCATTTTTCTAGATTACGAGACGAAAGGGGAGTGAGAAAAAGAAAATGCTGATGGAAGTCATTGTTGCCAGAGTACTGTCCCTTGGCTGATGTTGAAGAAGGCCTAGTTGTAAATAGGTACGAGAACAGTGGGTCTTCAGACGTGTTCCCACTAGCGTACGTTGTTACCATTGCCACATTTTTAAACGACTGATTGACACACAGTAGGACAACGGGAACGTCTGGGAACCGACCGTACCCGTCCCCCCAACAACACACTTCATTGTTTCCGTTTGTCATGTAGTTCGAACGCGCCGTTGCACGATGGCTCATTCTTGGGAACCGAGCATCGTGATGGCGTCGCCGTCGGTACACCACTCGTATGTCCCGTGCACCCCGAAAGTACAACTTTTCTAAGGACGGGGGGTGGGCGGCCTGACGTTGACCGATCAAAGATCGGCAGGCGACATGCCGATTGCCGCCGTCGTTTGCGACCGGGGACGGAAATATGCAAAAGTGGATTGTTCCGCGCACGCCGTCTTTGCGTCCTTGCCGTTGCTGCCGCGAGCATCATTAACCACACGCAAACATACACATACACCCCATTCCATTGGAGAGTTTCATCCTGTCACAAAGCAACATTGCAGAGAAATAAAAAAAAAAGTATCATGTTCATTTATTTTAAAACGTGGAGTGGAACTTTTACTATTGTGTCGCTTCGTCGGGCTCTTGTCTTCTCATGGTGGGTCTGTAGTTCTCGTGCTCAGGTCCGAGGGAAGGGGAGTAGCACGGAGCCTAGAAACGCATCTCCGACCTGGGTGTTTGGCGCATCCTCGAAAATGGTCCCCCATTTCCGCCTGATGACGTCGTCGGAGTGTCGTGTCGTTGCCTGCTGCGGTTCTAGTGGTGGCACGGCGGTGGAGGTAAATGTTGCAGACGTCTGTTCTGCTTCGGGTCCCTCTCCAGCTTGACATTGCGTGGGAGCTTCGGCAGAGGCCAGCAGCACTCGAGTTCACTCGTGCTTTTTGCCGGAACGTCTACGACCGACCGGCCGCATCACGACAGCATGATGCTCCGGCTTCTGCAGTGTCGTCTGTGACCACTTGTGACAGTTTTTGATGCGTGGGTGGTAGGGACCCTAAGGGCGAATTAGCCGATGGAGCGGTGGAAGCTGGAAGTATAGACTGTTTTCTTGGGCGGCGCAATTTTTAATTTTGCAGCACCCTCTGGAGTGGGTCGGGTTCTGTTGCCGCGCTGAGTGGGGGCGGAAGCTGACCTTTTCCGTCTGCCGTTGACGTGCAAAAGCGACGGTGACCGATGAAATGTGATTTCGTGATTGCCGTCCAGTTCTCTTTCCCAGCAACCCACTTCCAGCCTGGGGCAGCCCTTGCCCACTTCTCTTGCTCTCTCGGTAAAAAAGTCTCGTCGGTAACAAGGCGTGAATGGCACGAAGAAGCTTCAGTCGTCCCACCTCGTTTGTGAGCTTTCTACCTTTGGCAGTACTTCGATGTCTCGTGCAGCCAAAGAACAGTGGAAGGTGCGAAGCGTGTGCTGGAGGCCAAGTGTTCAGAAGACACTTGGCCTGTTGTTCTTACACTCGTTGACTGCCGGTCTTACCTCCCGTGATCAAGGTTAAGCGATGAAAGACTGGCGATGTATTGGTTGGAGAGTATATAGCTTGTGCCAGCTTAGCAAAGATTTTCTGACGTGTCTCCTTTCACACTACCCAAGGTAAGGAATTTTTTTTCTTTTTAAAGGGCAACTCTGCTTCATTTTTGATATTTAGAAAACTATGTAGTCCTCTTCCATGACAAGTATTACGATCTAATTCCGTTTATATATTTAATAAACTGGCCAGCAAACCTTCACGCGAGCCAAGTCGCCGAAATCTGCCAACTCTAGAGTGCGGCTGGAGGCGCAGTCAATGCCACGGAGTTGGAGCAGCCGACATTGAGCCACTACGTCAGAGGCATGACTACGTCATTCTCACGTTTTGCTTGTTTTTACTTCTCGGAGCGAAATTGAACAATGACGTCATGAGTTTCTCCTCCCGGTGTTGGCTGAACGGCGTCCACGTGATCACCGTAACGCGGATGCGCTAGTTTGCGCTGCCCTGCGCGCTTATCAGTCTGTTTCTCCGCTCCCCTTCGTTTTCGTCTTCTCCCCTTCCCCCTCTCCCCGGGGCCACCACCGTCCACGCCACGCGAAGCGACCTGCCCGCGTCGCGTGTCCTGTCCCCCCCCCCCCCCCCCCCCCCGAACGTCACAAGACCACGTGGTTCGACGTGACGTGGCCATGACTCTGACGACCCGAGACCAATGTTGCCTGACGCAACCGAAGTTTCGGTATCAGCTGATGTTTAAATTAGGATTACACAAATAATATTCCACATTTCGCGAAACCGAAGACGTAGAGTTGTTTGGTAGTGCTTTGTGAATTTGAATCACATGTAAGCCTAAAGTTTTCGGAATTGAGCGGAGTTGCCCTTTAAGTTACAAGGAAGCAGTTTTATAATCAGTTGTGATCGTACTGCTTACATCTTCGTGTTACTGCTATGCACTGAAAGAAAACCGTAAACGAACTGCCGGTTGAGGCTGGTAGTGCACACGCTCGGAAAGGCCTTGGTGGTTTTCTTTTTCTCTTGTGTCTTTTGTTAGTACCAGTGCTAATCCGACAGTTCTCTCCGTTTGCATAAAAATAACCCCTTGTTTTTTTTGTTTTTTTTTTGTTTGTTTTTTTTATATAGTTTGGATGTTTAGGGTTTTAGAGAGTTCTGGCTCCGGGTTTTTTCCGTCTTCCCGCAATGGGGGTTACTTTTCGGATCATTGTTTGTCCGAACGTACAACCAAATTTTGTTCAATATTGAAGGACTGATATAATGTAAAGGGCAATTTTAATCAATAAGGTGGTTAAATAAGATAAAAGCGTGGCGACGATGGACGTCTGGACCAAGCGTGTCTTCGCGCGACCCCTCCATAGATGTGACTGACCAGCCAGAAACTCCTAAAGGAAACTGGAAAAAAAAAAACACGGAATTTTTAGGTTTTAAATTTTGTGTTCTGTTACCGTCGGCACAAAACCAAAATTAAATCTCGCATTCTTTATTCCCCGCTAAACAAACAAAAAAAAATGCAGTGCCTTAGCTTGGCTATGCCAGGACATACTAGCGTAAGCTTAGGTTCAGCTGGTTATTCTTAGCTTTCATGGTTGTCTAGGATTAGCTTGATTATCGTGCTTACTGCTGCTTCAATTACACACACACGGTATACGCATTATGTGACTACTTCGGGATCTGATGAGTTGAGCTTCTCCGCTCCTATTGTGGAGGAGGCGCCGTGTAACCGAGCCTTTGGTTGCACGTCAAAAGATCCCCAGGCGGTCCAAATTAATCCTCAGTCCTCCGCTGGGGCGTGCCAGATGCCGGTCGTTGGTTTGGCCAGCTGTGCGCCGTGTCGTTATGTATCAAGCAACCAGGCTGCCGCCCAGAATAACCGGACAGCGCGAGCCATGATCTCGAGCGGGTGCATCGGGGACTGACCTAGGCGCCATACCAGTCCTGCCCGTTCCGTCACTGCTCCCCGCGCATGCGCAGCACGGCTCTCCAGGAGCCACGCGAAGCTGCTCAACCTCGGCCAGTGTAGTTTACGCTACAAAAACAATCACAGTTTTTTTTTTTTTACATTTATGTGTTTTGTTTTGCACTGTGCAAGCAGTTAATGCTACACTCCATCTCACGAGTTGCGTGCAGCAAAAGCACAGGCTCGAGCGCATGGCCTTCAGATGTGCTTTTCTTTCGCGATCACTCGCGAAAGGAAAGCAAATCTTAAAGCCATGTGCCCGCGCCTATGCCTTTGCTGCACACAACTCCCGAGATATAGTATAGTGCACATGACCTGTGTCTTCATAAAACACCATGCTGGAAAAAAATATATAAATTCCAGCATCGCGTAACGCATGCCTCCCGAAGGTCGCGTGATACAGACACGCTGCATTGGATTGGCTGGGACGAGGAGCGTCCTCTGCGATCCATCGTAAGGTGAGGCGGAGAGCGCGCGGTCGTTGCCTCTCCCCGTTCTTTTGGGCTGCGCGTGTGACCAAGTGTTCTCAAAGGCAGAAAGCTCGCGCTAGAAGCGGAGACATGCCCAGATCACACACTGCGAGTACATCGTACATGCAGACACTAGGGAGTTTTAGGGAACCGTTTTTGCGCATCCGATACGGTAGTATACGATGGGCCCTCCGGTACGAACTGCGCATGCGCTATCGCAGAAGACTCACATGCGCAGTGCGTACCTTATCGAATGTGCAAAAACGGTTCCCTAAAACTCCCCACTGCCTGAGCCATGTTTCTTGTACGGCTTTCCTGTAACACTGGTCATACGAAAAAAAAAAACAAAAAAAAAACGCATCTTTACGTGGTGATTGATGTTGATTGGGGCGAAGCTCTGGTGGTGCTTGTCTGCGCAGACGTTGAGCCGCAGCATGCCGAGCCTTTCGTTCGTTTTCATCCATGTCACGCCGCGGTCAAATGCTCAAATGCGTATATAACCAGGTTCCATACCACACATTCTCTTTCTGACATGGATGAAAACGAACGAAAGGCTCGGCATGCTGCGGCTCACCGTCTACGCAGACAAGCACCACCAGACCTTCGCCCCAATCAACATCATTTACCTCGTGGAGATGCGGTTGTTGTTTTGTTTTGTTTTTTCCCCTGCACGTGCTCACGTGAACGTGAGCGCGTGAGCTCACGAGCAGGAGCACGTGCACCCGACGGCGGACGGACATACAGACATGGCTAGCCCCTAAGGAGCTTCGCCCCTAAAACCGTCCTAAAGCCTAGTTCACATGCAGCGATTTTGATTTTCTGCCGTCGCGGCGCTCGTGCCGCAGAATTGCTGGTGCTGGCCAGAGCGCCGCGACGGCAGAAATCGCGCCGTAATTTTGTCCACCATTTTGTTATCAGCTGTCTGGCGCGTGTTGATCACACGACACCCTCAAATCGGTAGTTTGCAAAAGCTTGTATGTGTTATCACGCCTCCTTTTCCTTTTTTTTCTTTTTTTTTTTTTTTTGCTGATAATTTTTTTAGTTACTTTCAAAGAAAGTAGGGGATTGACGTCATGTGAAAACGCCCAATACCCATGCGCAGAGAGAGGGGCGTGTTGTGTGAAGGTTTAGGCAGCGGGTAATCCGGAAATGAAAGTGAGGCAGTTTATTTTCTTCCGGCGAGCCCTCAGCTCCCACCGCACTGTCAGCTTAGGGGTGAACACGAATGCAGTTTGTGAGGAACAGTGTGCGGCGTTTCGGCTGTCGGCGCATTGCAACATACCGCAAGGAATCGACACTTTTTATCTCTGTTCGCAAGGGGAAAAAAAATGTTCGAAAGAGTAAATGTGAGCGGGGAAGGCGGTTATTTATATGGACGGACAGGATGTGCATTGCCTACACACACAAACCTCTCCGTCAAAGAGACAAGAAATGAAAGCGTGTGTGGGGCCTTTGTCTTTTCAAAATTTTTGCTTTCATAGATCTAAGAGAAGAAAAAAAAAACGATTTGTAATGTGAGCTAAATCACGCTTGTTTTAACAATATTGACTTAAATCAAGCCTGTCCCATAGAAGAAAAATCTAAAAAGAACGCTGTTGCTTGCGTCACTAGTCGCTACAATCGATTTTCCAGAGTGCTT